CCAACTTTATTCTTCGCCTGAGAACTGACAAAAGTGACTGCTTTCCCGGTGGGGGACAAGACTGGCATGGGCGGTCAGGACAAGCTGAAGACAACTCGCGCTCCACTGGGTGGGGGTGGGTGCTCCTGCAGGAAAAAGCAGAGTCTGTCAGCCCGGAGTATCAAAATCTTTGTCTGTGTAAAACAGAAATGTTACTTCCTTAAAATCTAGAAACACCAGTATTCAATGGCCATAATGCATATAAAATCAAAATTCTCAAAATACTACTCTAACACGTTAGTAAATCTGTAGATTAATATAACGCCATTTTAGTGCAGCAATTCTCACACAATTTTCTCCTTTTTGTATGTATTGTGACTTCCTTTTTAGCTTCTATTTAATCAGTGATTATGATCATAAAACAGCAACAATATCTGTTTTAATATAGCTCTTACATGGGTGTTTAGCTTTAAATTCTGGCGTAAATGACAGTACATCACTTGGTACATCTAGGGTTATGATTTAAAATATCTTTAACCATGACTTACTATTAACAAAGTATTTATAAAACCTCTCTTAACTTTTAGCATTTTGCTCAACCAACTGGTAGAGTACATTTTCAGGCCCTATATCTAACTGAAGCTTTCACTGAAATTGACCTACCTTATTGAATCTTTTCTACCAATTGGTTTACATCTGTAATGCCAAAAAATCCACCAGAAGGCACTGTGAATGTAAACGCTCTTCTTATCGCTCTCCCAACCAGGAAGTCAGAAACAAAAAATCATCCAACATATTGGTAGCTGTATCATAGAAGGAAGATATAATTTTTTGATATATGATAGTGTTAGAGGACTTACTAAACAGATGTATGTCACTTGACAGCATTAAAAATGTGAAATTAAATGTTTAATCATTTAAACATGATTGCCCAACCAAACGGCTGATTTGTCACTTTATGGTGCTAATGCTAACAAAACTTAATGTTATTATAATTCATTATTTGCCATAATATCAGACCACTAGACCCATTTTGTTTATCCATTGCTGTTGATAAATCCCATTAAGTATTAGCACAGCAAGAATATACTGAAATAATTTCCTCAGTAAGTAATTTTTGTATCTTCCTGAGTTAATATTAGTAAATACTGTAAAAATCAAGAATAACATGTGGAAATCACAAATATCACAACTAATTTCCCTTTAACCAAAGTACAGTAGCTGGTAAATTAATTTTTCTAAGTAGTCAAAATTATAATTTCATGTTTAATAAGTACTATATGGACGCTAAACAATTATATGGCTAAAAATCACATGGTCCTGTGGCATGACACTCATGATACCATCCACCTTCAACCACAGTGTGGTGAAAAACTATGGGGTCTATTGAAAAAAAAATATTGATTGTGGTTATTACTCACCCAAGTCAATAAGAAATGCAAAGAAAAATTTTTTCCATTGCTTTTTTCTTGGTGTGGACCTCAATGGGTTAACACACTCACAACTATTTTAACTATTAAAAACTACTATTATAACCTAACCCAATTAATTTGTACTGGTTTGTGCGGTTATTTGTAAGCAAGAAAACAGAAAATAGTTTTTAAATATTCAGGATTGGAAATCAGAGATTGATTTT